TTTGAATAAGTTAATTTTATTCCATTCGTTCGTGAATATTAATCACGTTTCTCCTCCTTGAAAAGGAAAAATCGGGGATACGTGTTCGAAAATCTGTTAATCGACTTCACAACCATGCGACCATTTAATGTATCACGATAGTAACGTTAATTGGCCATTTATAACATTGTAATGGTACATTAACGGTGATCGTATTAAGAATGAAAATCGTGCGGAAACAGGGCGATTATGGGAGAACGGTGAAACAAAATGACCTCGCACGCCTCTATTTAACGCAACGCAAAAATAGATCGGCTTTTTCCAGCAATATCATTTCCCACGGCAATACCAAATTGCTATTAACGTATTTGATCGCGTTACATCGTACGTTTTTCTGCAAATCATTCACATGCGCGAGAAATACCGTACGCTATTTATATTCGATACATACCGAACACTTTCGTGTCGTTGCGATAAAATAAACGTTATTGCAAATCGAAACGAGCGGGAAACGCGTGCCGAAGAGCATTTATTTCGATGGGACAAAGTAGATGCATTTCTATATACGCCGTTCACAATGTTTCGAAGCATATTTCTCGTCACGAAAGGAGCCAGGATACAGTGTACCATATATGTTTTACAATGACATTACAGGAAATGATAACGGATATACGCGTTTCCGCATCGAGCGATATAAAAGTTGCGTTAACGTTATTTAATAAAAAAAGAAAAGAAAAAGAAAAAAAATAGGACAATTAATTTTTATGTTTAACTTTAGAGAATTAATTTACAAGATTGCATTAGAAAATATATAAAATTTCCTCACGATTCAATCCCTATCATTCCCTAATTATCGCTGCTTCAGCACCACGTGATTAGCAACCTTCCCTATCATTGATCCAACGTATGTTTGCTACGGAGTCATAGATTTTACCAATAAAAAATCTACTAATTTGACAATCCAGATATAAAAAGATATCTGGTTGAAAGAAATCTAAGACTTGACTGATCGATATAAATAATTATGATGACTAAACAATAATTCGGAATAAAATTGTAATGAAACTTTTGATTAAATGGAATACGAACAATATCAGGAAAAATCTTTACCTGATTTTTTTGAATCATTTTATCTAACGACCTTTAATACGTCATTTTACTATCTTTCTTATCAAACCAATTGTTCGTGGGACATTCATTCAAAGTAATTGAACTTCTATAATTAGAACCAGAGAATATATAATGAATTTTTAGAACACGCCTTCCAAATGGAATGGAATTTGATTATCACTGTATGAACGGCCTTGGGCACAAAACCAGTTGACAAGCGCTCGTGATATATAAATGCAAAATGACGTCACAGATTTATCTATATCTCAAAAATGAAGAAAAAATAATATCCACGTAAGATACAAAACGGTTGATTCTGAATCTGTGATCAAATCTGACGTTCCGTAGACAATACGTCGACCTAATTCTTTTTAAACAAGTTATCGATACCTTGGAGGATACTAAAAATGTACTTTGTCTGGAGGCGCAAAAAAGAACAAAAGTTGGGCATAAAACCAAGCTACGAGAACTCATTATGGTAACTATTGAACACTTATCGATCGTCAAACAATGGAATATGATGTTAGAGGTTACAATAGTCTACTCTGGTAAGCTATCGTTCGAAGACACATATTATTGAGAAGCAAAAGCGTATTTCTAACACCATGGCTCGATTGAATTTATCGATTTAATCGGATCTAATTCCGCTGATGATTGAAGTGAGCCTAAGCGTGAAACTTTGTATCTTTAACATACTACACAACAGGTATCCCCCGTATGTGAATGCACCTACAGTTCTATTATTATCGTTGCACGTGCCGTTCTATCGGCAGATAACCGCTATATACGTTCGATAGTAGTCTCACATATAATGGTCTATTATATTTATTTGCTTTTTAATAATGCACATTTGCGCACAACACTCATCGTAATTTATATGACAAGAGTACGCGTGCAGGTGTTGTGTAGTCACGCTGTATAATCTTGGTATTGTGTACAATTTCTAAGCGTCCTACACAATGCCAGACACAATACCGGTTATACATATATTGGACTCAACAAGTCCAAAGAAGTTTGTGTCTACTTTTACTTGCATTATCGGTGCCAAGAAATCTTATATGTATGTATGTATATATATATATCTACAATTGTTGTTAACTAAAAAAAAATATAAAAAAAAAAGAAACAAATTAATATAATTAATCAAAAGTAAAATAAATAATAAATTAAAATGAAATAGCACTTATTTACAGCAATTTAAAAAATGATTCAATATCTTATACTGTTATTCAAATTCACAACTCACAAATATATCCTCCAAGCAATAATATTCATGCGGATTATCACAGAAAAATATTAACAAAATTAATATAAAATGTGATAAACGATCAAATATTGGTAGCTTTCGTTTTTCCCTAAAAATATTCAGTCCTTTGTTCATCGCACGACGTGTACATCAAGCACAAGGTTTCCTTAAACAGAAGATTATAACTTGGCTTCTAAGTATACTTTGAATCGACCAGCTTTTCACCTCTAAGGCACCACTGTCCGTTTTGTCTTTTAATAGTTTCTGCTGAAACTTAAAATTTCAGCCGTCTCACTGGCAGAATATCGATTATCGTTTCCGATGTAGCGCGATAAGATGAATGATAAAATATCCGACAAAAATGAGATAATACGATGTTGGTTTATTAGTTAACAATTCAGAATGAAGCCGTAAAGATGATTCGTATTGGTTACGATAGAATAGTAGAACTACAAGTGGCAGGAAACACATATAACAACGTTCTTGATAACAGCTGATTACGATGAGCTCGCCCAGACACAATGGTCGTCGTTTAATGAACCACGTTGCACGCTGACATTTCGATACACGATAGATTATTATAAATGTTTCCTTCCATTTCCCGCCAAAAATAATAATTTAAAGATAATTCATTTTTTATCTCATTGAATTATCATTAACAAAATTTTATCATATATTTTACTAGTACTTTCAAGATGTTTCATGATAATCATGATACGAACATACCAATCACAATTATTCATTTGATATAATTATAGAGCCTTCGATTCGAGAAATAACACGTGCCGTATATAACAAAAATTATAAAATTCTCAATACCTTCGTTTATGCCAGAGTTGCAGGTTTACGGTATGTACTAAAAATAGCGGTACCCATAAAACTGCTCGGTGAAAATCGCCACGAGACCTCGAAGACGTGGCACATACAATACGCAACCGCGTATGTAACCTATACACTAACAATCCGATCAAAAATCAAAAAATTTTCTTTCCACTAAAAGTCACTGAAGCGAAAAGTAATCATGGGTAGAAAAATTATCGGTCGCGTTCAAAAAAATTTCTACAAAATTAGACGTTCCGAAACTGAGACAATATAAAATATAAATATGAATCGTAGCATAAAACATATATCGTATTGTTTATCGCGATTAAATATAGATTTTATCGAATAAAATGATTCATTTTATCAAATACTCACGATATCTATGCTCCGTGTGACAGAAGACTCGTAACCCATGTCAAGAGGATTCATCTTGAGACGATTGTTTACACGACGCCAACACTTGGATCAGTGCAAAATCACCACTTTACCACCGATTCATAATCGTGCATTACTTTTGTATATGGATTTCTCGATGTATCGTTGATTTTCACGCATAAAATCGTGCGATCACGCGTGCCTGCGCTCGCGGTCGATCCTTGGAATCCATGACAGGTACGAGCACGGGTATGGCTACGAGCCGCATGCGCCAAAGCAGAAGTTATCACGTTCTACCACCAAAGCAAACGAATAATATGTAGATGAGAAACTCTGTTTCGAATTTAAATTTCTATTTCAAATCCACACCGATTGATTTATATATACTTGAAACCTTCTTTAATCCGATAAATTAAAACTAATTAGGACACGTCCCTTTGCCTCTTTTTTTACCATTAGTATTCATGAGAGCATTCAATTTATTGCGCGTCAAATCAATTACTCGATCAATTATGAAAAAAATATAATTTTTAATTTTAACGAACAATTTGCAAGAATAATTAAATCTATAATTTATTTTCATTATTACGTACCTATTTTTCTTCGTTAAAATATGAAGTAAAAATATCACAATATAATTTTTATTGAAAAATAAGCAAAACTAAATCTTGATATATAATCTTGACTTCCGGTATAAATGTCTATATAAATTTATAATTATAAACTTCCTATTCAAAAATGTAATTTAAATTGCAATTATTATATAAAAAACCAATTTAAAAAATATTTATTAAACTGTAATTCAAATAACAAGTTAAAAAATATATATTAAATATTAATATATTAGATTAATTTTAATTTCGATCTATATTAATGAATCATTGCGCATACCCAATCGCGTCGATTTGACTTGCATGATTTGACTCTACTTGCAATTTGAATTATATCCGTTAGTTATTTCGCGGATTTTTGCAATTTGCATTATCGAAATGCAATTTATTTCAAAAAAGAAGTTTGAGATGAATATCACAATTGGCCTCCTCACTGCAAAAATAACTGTAATATGGTGAGTTTATATAATTATTATTAATTATTAGAAAAATTTTTAGTGAATTAAGAAAAATGACAATGAAAAAATTTTGTAACTTTAATATTCTATTACATCTTATGATTGATTTCTAAATGAATTTATGAATATTTTCACACTAGAATAAAAATTTTACCAAAAAATAAAAATCATATCTGATGACTTTATAAAAAAGAACTACAAAAGATTTATATTAATTTTAAATATTTTAAAATTCAAAAATGACCGTTATAACTGTTTTTTACAATTGTATTGTTTTTTTTTTTTCATTTTACTATTATATTCGAAAATTTATAATGAAGAATATAAAAATTAATTTATAATTAACGATATAGAAATCAATCGTTTAAAAATTAATATTATTTATGAAAAATAATAAAATTTTAAATTACATACATACTTTATTATGCATATGAATTTTAACATAGAGAGACAAAATCATTCCTTTACAATGAATCAAGATATTCTCTATTCATTTTCATAAATGACAACAAATATTTTCAATAATCTAAACTTCTTGAGCGCATTTTAAATATTGCGATGTTTAAATTTCTTTGTTATAATGATACCAAAGAGGTCATGAATTTTCTTATTTCATAACTTAGTCATATTTTCTTATTCATCATAAAAAGAATAAAAAATACAATTAATGTATAATGAGATATGATGTAATACACTTACATTCAAGATTAAAATTTACAATTCGATGAAAATGACAAATATTAATTTTCACATAAGTAGGAATTTTACTAAAACTCAGATAGAATAAAATGTTGTACAAAAGGTTCTTAAAAAGAACTCACTCATATTACAATAAAATATAATATGTACATGAAAAAATCAGATTACAAAAAAACATTGGCACAAAGATTTTCCCCTCTTGGTATCTATCTTTTTCTTTTTTTTTAATTCATATATCAGTTAATCTGAATATTTCAGAAAACTGTTTTATAAATATGCGCTTTAAAGAGATGATTTTGAGAAAATCGTATTTATGCCTTGAGATTATTCATTTACAATTAATGCGATGATACATTAACATCGTGTTTCATATAGACCACTTCTGCCTATATATCTCACCCATTTTATAACATCATGATCAGAATAATTTAATTTGGATTCAAATACTTTTAAATAACGAACTTTGAATCCAGAAGGTGCAAATGGTACTTCGAAATTCATAGATATTGGTGGTCGGGTCCATCTTTTCTTCGTATCAGTTTCAAGTAAATCAATTTCAGCCGATAGCTGAGTTTCTTTCATACCAGCCATACGCTTAATTTTCCATACAATAGCATTTTCAGATGCTTTATACTTTGCTTTCCCTTTTAAACAAATTAATTGTACTCCAGCAGTATTTAAAGGAGTAGGTACTCTAACTTCAATCTTCTGTCCCAACAAAGAAGGTTTAAAGTTTGATTTTAGTACTGCCTTCACTTCCATTTTTGTACGTCCTACTTCTCGTACTAATGGAATAACGCGAAATGGCAATGATATATCCTTAGTGGTACGGTATCTATATTACAAAAATATTACAAAAAAAAATATCAAATAATTTACAATTTTACACATTAATTCTTTTTACAATATCATTTCATCAATTTCAAAGAATGTTTACCTCATCAACTCAAATTCCCCATCAGGAGGTATGAAACTTATGGCATGCTCTGTCTCAAATTTACTAAGCTTGACACATTGATGAAATTGACAATCATCAATTACAACCACAGGTTTTCCAGATCTAGCACCTGTAGGATCATCACCACCACCTCCCAAACCGCTTCCACCTTTCATACCTTTAGCTTCCATAACAATTTTATCATTGATTCCAAACTTACATTCTGGCATTCCAGATAAATAAGATTTCATCACAACCTATTAGAATAAAAGTATTAGATTAATAAATTTCCTAATATTTCAGCTTTTTCTATTTCTATCTTTAAAATAATAACCTTCCCAGCAACATGTGCACTTAACACTTGTCCTTGAGGACTCATTAAAAGATTCACATATTCAAGTACATCAAGGAATAATTCATTCCGTCTATATTTAATACCCTCTCTTCTCCATCCAATTTGACCAGTTACTTGTGAAGTTATTTGAGCTTGTTCTTCCTTTGTTGCTGATTTAACACCTTGTTGGGTAATAAACGTTTTTAATACTCCAGTGTCACAGTTCTGAGGATATCCAAAATCCAAAATTTCTAGACAATAAATTTAATTACACTTTAGCATAAAATATTCATTTTACATATACAATATTCATGAATATAAATACTTATAGATATGCAATAATACTCACCATCCAATAATTCATAAATTAACACAAAGTTGTTCTTGATATTTTCCTCAGAAATCTTACCAAAGTATGATTGCATAACATCAATGATTTTTAATAAAAATTCAAAAACCATTGCAGCATTAACATTTTGTTTGGTAACAGCAGCCAACCAAATATTAGCCCGTTTTATATGAAAGAATGATGTTCTGGCAATGTTAGTAACAGGAGAGCGTACTTGTTGTCTGGCATGGATAACATTAACACGAAATGCATCAACTGCATTTCGTCCAATGTCATCTCTATATACTCTGGAGATAAGAACTTCTCCTTTATGATTATACACAAATAAACCCCCTATCATCTTGACAGAGGGTACCTTTTATTACTTCAATTACAATCAACCTATAAATAAATCATTTATTTGTTATTATTGGATTATAATTTATGTATTAATAAAAAATTAAAATGTAAAAAAATATATAAAATATGCATACAAATATATAAAAATGAAAAAAATATATAAATATCTAAAATAAAATATATTCTAAAATAAAATGCTCTATTTGAATGATAAAATAAATCTCAACTTAGGTTTTATTTCTCAATTAATAATAAAATTTAGTAAAGTTTAATAAAGAGATAATAAAATTTAACAAAATATATTATAATTCATAAATATTATTAATTAAATTATTATATAAATTGCTCAAAAAACATATTTATAAATTATATAGAACAAAATATGTCTAATATTTAATATATTAGAAATCTTTTTAAATGTAATCTTAACCTATTTAATTTTATAATTTTTAATACAATGATAATCTATAATAAGTACAATAAAAAATAAATATAACATATAAAAAATATTCTAAAATCTATTAAAAAAAAAAATTACAAAAATCAATGAATGAAAAATGTGAGAAAAATATTTTTTAAGAACAAAAATATATCATCTGAATATCATAATAATTATCTTTCAAAAAGGTAAAAAATTTAGTTTATTTAAAAATTAATATATATTTTTTATACAATATAAAAGGATAACGCCCCTTTTCTTAAATGACATTTGAGGTTCTCTAATATGTCTTGTAAACGGTTAGTATTATTGATCGGAAATGAACGACCTATACCATAGGCATTAATATTATCAAAAATTTTTTGAAAATTATAATATGCAAATATTTACAAATATGAATTTCAAAATTGTGAAAAATTACTTACGCATGACTTCTAGTGCGTTTAATAAAATAAGAGATGCTAATTTGTATCAGCCTCCGAAACGTACAGTAACAGTACCAACCTTCTGATACAAGTGCGAACTATCAAATGACGAAAGCAACACCCACTTCTTTATACTACGTGTTTCAGATATATAATATTACAATATTAAAACGTTATATTTGAAATAACAATTAATTAATGTAAAATATAAGAAATTATTGTTCCTAAATTTAAATTCATCTATGTATTGTTACGTTTAAAAATATCTTAATTATACATTTATAGGGCAAATAGGGTTGTTGTATTGATTTCAAAACCGGTAGTTGTACATTTATATGCTTAATCACTATAATAAAAATATTAAAAATAATATTGAATTATATCTGTAAAAAATTTACTAATCCAACACTTTCTTTGTATATTCAAAATTCAAAAAATTTTTGATTATGCTGATTCTATTTTTTTTTTTTTTTTTTTTTACTCTTACAGTACAGTCAATAAAATATATGCATTAATATGCATTATATATATAAATAATTCTATACTTTTATTATATTATTTATTATATAATGTTTATATTTATTCCATTTCATAATTATATATAAATTATATTTTAATCAAACAATATAAAGTTCAATAACTTATTTGATAAATATTTAAAACTCTTTAATAGTCAAGATATAGTATACCAAGTGTTTATATCAACGCTTGCGCGTTGTAATATTTTCGGATACATGTGTACCCAGTATTGCAAAATGATTTGCATATGAAAGAATTGAATATTCCGTTCGTAGTTCTTCTTCTACATAGTACTTCATAGTACAAACAATGAGTGACCAAGATGGAAATAATAATAACCTTACTTTGAGGGAAAATTTAGTAAGTTTCTACTATTCTTGGGTTATATACACATATGTATATATATATATATGTATGTATATTTATTTAGATCCTAATATTTTTCAGAATATCGATAAGTATGAAACCATACATTGATCTATTATATAAGCATTGATATGCATATACATACATATATTTTAATTCACAAAAATTTTTTAAGGTAAAAACTGCAGTGGAATTTCTACAAAATCCTAAGGTACAAAATAGTCCTATTGGACGTAAACAAGAATTTCTTCAAAGAAAAGGTTTAACTGAGGAAGAGATTAAAAGAGCATTTAAATTAGCTTCTATAGATATAACAATTGATCAAAATGTCAATAATTCAAAAGATTATACCGTGGTTCCTATTCCACAAGGTCATATGTATCCGTACTTTCAACAAATATACCCATGCCAAATAACTATTTTCCAAAGAATAAAAGAATTCTTCAATGCTACTGCATTAATTGGTGTTACTATATATTGCGTATATTGGTTCTATAAGGTATTATTGAATGTATATGATACAAATGTTATTTTAAAATCATACAAGTTGAACATACTCTATTGTAGAAATTTATTGAACCATTACTATTTGGCCGGAAAAAGAAAGATAGTATAAAAGATTCAGTCACTGAGTTAGATAAGAGTATTCAAAATTCTATGAAAGAAGTAAAACAATCTATTTCAAAAGTCGAGGAGGATGTACAAAAATTGACACAAAATCAATCTATGGATCCAATGATACCTCAATTGGTACAAGAATTGAAACAAGATTTAGCTAGTCTCAAATCTTTACTTTTATCAAGGTATAATATACATATATGTATTTTAATATAATTACATATTGAAACATTAGAATACAATATGTAATTAACAATTTGATAATAACATTTATTGCTATACAAGATGATCATTTTGTTTATACATCATATTCTATTTTATTTTTAAATTTATACATTAATCTTAAGATATAATTTTTATACAAAAGTTTATATTTATTCTTTTTATACTGACTCACACACATACAAACATGTATATATTTCAGATTCAATCTCTCAGATATATTTATTTGAAAATACAAAAGTAAAAATTTTTTGAATAAAAGAACTATAAAATATATCAATCAAATCATGATTGATTGACAAAAAAGATATAAAAAACACAGATTCTATGTTTTAATATTCTTGCAAAATTTTGTACTTAGTATTACCAAAGTTCTATAAAATTTGTACATAGAAAGTCAAGGAATTCATAAATATTTGTATATTTACCAAAATTTCGAATTTTAAACAGAAAACAATTTCCAAGTGCACCAACATCAGTGCCAACATCTATATCTATACCAACATGGCAATTAGATGCTGCAGGTACAAGTCAAGAAAAAGCAACTGAACGAGAAGATGATGCTGGAAGTGGAAGTAGCGCTAATAACTCGGATAGTTCTCTGGAAATGATCCGCGAAGATCCACCTAAGGTGTAAAATTAAAATAATATAATAATTTATAAAAATTCACTTCCATCATAACAGTCTTCGATATATAAAATACTCTGTGATGTCGTGAAAGGAATACATAATGATCATTTGTAATATATATTGAAAATCGATGTTCTTATAATTATTGTATTATCAATTCATTTGTTTAATTCTATTTTAACTTTGTACTACAAAATCAGATTAGATATAATTGTTTTATCTAAAAAAAAAAAAAAAAAAAAAACTATTTAAAGCTAATTATAAAGCAAAGAGATACATATAATGCATTATTTTATAAATAATATTAAATTTTCGGAAATGGTAATTGTTACTTAATTTCTTGTTTTCTTATATAGAAAAGTTTAAAGGAATTAGTATTTGTTCCGCATTGATTATTAGCGTCGATGTTCCATCTCTGCTGTTAAAGGCCTCACATATTGTTTAATAATTTTTATGAAAATAAAAAATTAAATACAAAATAAGAATATTTTCTTAATATTATTCATAACGCAAGAAAGTACATTACTATTTAATGTTAATAATTACTTAAAATAAATAATCTATTTAAAATACTTAACAATATTATGGGAAGGTAAAAACCAAAAATACAATTTATCTTTATAAACTAAATATGTACATTTTAATCCATATTTGAATTTAAAAAGACAATCGCGATACATAGAACCATATTTAGTTATGGACTATGTTTATACAAGTTGTTTGCAATGTATATTTGAAATTAAAAAATTAATATTTTTTCTTAACATATACATATAGTTGCATGTATGTGATAACAGAACATCCATACATGTACATATAGGTTTACTATGTACAGAAAGACATTATTTTTATTGAGTGTAATATAATCCTGCCTTATCCTATATCTATTACCCATGGCTCTTCTTACTTTGGAATAAATTACTATTAATAATATAAATCCATGTGAGCAATTTGTTTGATATATGTCAATAAATAAACAAATGTTCTCAATTATTTATAATTTATTTGAGAACAAAGTATCATTATTTCATTCTTGTGCACATGGGCATATTTTTTAAATCGAATTTTTATAATTAAGTAAAACTAACATTTATACATATACATACATAATATACATGTATAAATGCTATGTAAAATGTTTAATCGCTTGATTACATTGTTCATTCACTCAATCATCATTCTGCAACAAATACATTTCCTATCATTGTATAAACTATAATAATTTTTAATAGTATTTTTGAATGATGAAATAAACAAATAAAGTATATAGGTATATGCACGATTTCATCTATTTACTGTTACTTCATTCGTACTTCTTTTTGATGTATAACATCGTACATACAATTAAACAATTTCCATTTTTCGAAAAATTTATTGAAATCAAATATCGCTTCTTTATAGTTCATTAATACTTCTTTTTATTATTAGATATATTCAGGATAACTGCCTCACTGATACAGTGAGTTACAGCAAAGTCCGTTTAAACTGTGACTTAGTATTTTTTTTATTTTTTTTTTATACTATATTTTATGTTTAATAATATTATATATAACAGAAATAATTCGTTTAAAAAATATAACACTTTTTTTATCATGTGTGGCAAAATACTTAAAACGTTTTGTATAATATTTTCACTTAGAACAAAATTATTTCAAGTGAAATATACGTATAAATCTATATTAATTTAAAATCTCAATCTTTGGCAAATACATTTTTTCTTTTTTTAAGAAAGCCCACTTTCTCTCTCTCTCTCGATTTGTGTATGTATATGTGTTGTGTACGCATACGTATATATATATATATTATTGCGCACACATGAACATAACGAAAATATCAGGACATTTTGTGCTAATGTAAATAGTTTGGTTAAAGGTCCCATTCCCTTTCAGACTTACTCGCTACGTTTTTATTTTCTAACGAGCGTAGAAAATGAGGACAGGGGATCAGGGATCATCGTCTCATCATTTAGTCAGCATCCTATATCTATTACCAATAACAATAATCCTAGATTAAACACGCTAAACGTTTTGCAGCTCGATCTCTAATAAATCTAATTTATTACTTAATCCAAACTATGCTACCAAGTATGATGTAAATGTAAATTCCTTGAAAGAACGGACCGTACGTCTTGTGTAAAACGAAGAGCATCCAAAACAGGAAGTAAACTCAATAAAGCAGTATCTCCCGCGTCGCTAAACCAAGACTTTATTGGTATTGCGTTATCTGCGATAACAAAAAAAAGAATATAGGTATAAATAATTGTTATCTAAAATATATATTTAACACATGAATAAGATTAGATTTAAAATATCTAAAAATTAAATATTAAATTATTATTTAAATTATAGCTGTCCAACATAACATCCAAGAAAATTTTACATAGTATTTTATTTTTATAATAATTGATATATTTCTAAGTTTAGATAGATGAATTTTAAATTATGATTTTCTTGAATGTTGCAGATAAAAAATTATTGAATATAAAAATAAAATCTAATCTTTAAACTAGTACCTGATACACAGGAATTATTAAAAAAAATGATTAAAACAGTTGAAATTAGTTCATTGCCAATTCGGCGTAGTGTCCAGTGCTTATTCAAGTGGAGGAGCATTGGCAATTGAGCATATTTTACATCTATCCATAGGCCTGTATTCAGTGCTTGCTTACAGAACATCAACGCTGATAGCTGCAAATAGATATGTTTTTCAATAAAGTTTATCTCAACTTTTAATTTTATTATTTGTTAATCCAGTCAAACTATATAAGTTGTAAGTCTAGAAATTAAATGATTTGAAACAAAACTATAGTATGCCAATGTTTCATGTCATTAATGCAGCATTTTTTATTTAAAATAATTACAAAGACAATAAAAGTAATAAATACACATAAATCACACATATATCTTTTATTGATAGTAAATTTCATATATTAATCATATGAATTTCATTAATCAAATTAATTTATAAAATAAAATCACAATGATTAATTCAATATTGACAACTGAATAGATAAACAAATTTTTAAAATATATTCTAGAAAGAATTTTGTATTAAAAAAGTTAGATGAAAAATACCAATTTCTGAATATTTAAAAATTGTAATTAATACTTCAAAAATATTTTTAATTAAAATAGACAAATGTGAAAATTATAGAATACTTGAATTCAATTTCATTATGAACTTAAATTGGTTGAAGTTTATCTAAAAATAATTTTGAAACATTTATTTAAATTTTTAATTTAGATCAAAATAGGAAATTATTCCACTACACATAATTGTGCTCATGTAAGCAAGTTCTGACTACAGGTTGTAATACATAATATATGATACAACAACAGCAATTTAAACTTATAAAAATATAGAACCATGAATAAGAATATTAAATTTATATATTATATATAAATTTCTATTTTCTTTTATTGATTATTTATACATTTTATTTTATTTGTACAATAATTTGTACATGATTGTTATATCATACATAAAATTAAAATTAAAGAATTTTACAATATATGATTATTTTTAATATGTATGAAATAAAATAATTTATCAAATTTAAACAAGCAACTACAATTATAAGAGTAATCAGAAATTAATATCATTAAAATGAGGAAAATAAATGTTATACTTACGAGGATAGGCTCTGTAAGCTCCAGGACTATTATCAAGTATAAAGACTGATGCTAAATCAGAACAAATTGCAGATAAATCTTTAGTATAGGAACCCATTTCTGGAGTACAATGTTGTCTATAATATCTTCTTCTTAATATACCCCTGTTATTATCTAACTTTTCTGCAACAGCTGCACCATAGATTTCCATGGAAGCAGTGAAAACCACTAATTCATACCTTAAAGAAAAAAAAAAATAAATAGTAATATATTTAATATTTAGTAATTTAAAATTAATAATTAAAATATTAATATTTATTAATATTATATATTTAATATTTAATATATATTTAATAGTAATAATATTTAATACATATAATCAATTACATTAAAAATACTAATTATTCATAATTGATATAATTTCTTGTTTTTTTAATGATGATTTTAAAGTCAAAATCATCTAACTTTAATGTTTTCTTATTTATTTTGTAATAATTAAACTTACCATTGACTAACAATATCTAAAAAGAAATCTACATGTGGTCTTTTGTGGACAAAAAATCTGACAGGATGTCTGTCTATCTTCACTTTAAGAATAAAATCTGGTGGTGTACCAAATCTAACTGTTGGCCTTGCCACTCCATCATGATGAGAGTGAATTAATGTTTCATCTAAATCCAATACTAATACTTCCTTTTAACTATACCTATAATATATTTTAGTTACATATTATACTAAACAATAATATTTTTTAACACTGTTAAAAATGCAACTGTTAAAATGTAAATAATACTTACTAAGTCTATGCCTTGATAATGGAGATAATGGGAAGATTTCATATTTAACAGGTTGCATTTGTGATATCTAAAAAATTAATCAATTATAAAATAAAAAATAATTTATAATTGATTAAATATATTTGACATAAAATATACAATGTTTTACATAGAATGTTAGTAACATAAAATATATAACAAAAATAAAAATGTGGAATAAAAGAAATAACCATTAAAAATTCATTTGTTTTATAATAAACAAATGTCATTATTTACATTACTATTATAGAATACTTATATAATATATAATATATAATATATATATATATATGAGAAATGCAATACATATATCAAATTTAATATGCACATCGTTTGCTAATTAAAAATATTAATTAATAGTATAAAACATAAAAAAATATATAAAACTAATAAAATTTTTCAAACCTCTAAAAAAAATAAGGATAATTAAACTTATTATATATAAAAATTAATATCAGACACAAAAAACAAGATAATAATATTAAAAAAAGAAATTTTTAATAATCAAATGGAATATTTTAACGTAGACAACAGTGCATCATTGAACACGCTGTAATATCACAATATGATAATAATAAATATTCATTGGAATCAATAAAAAATTATTATAAATTAAAGAAGGAACTAATTTATTTAATTAGAAAATTGATATGATAAAGGATGTTATGTTATGAAAATCTTAAAAAAGAAAAAAGCTGATAGAGGCGCGAAGCACCTACTTACGGCTCTAACCTGCTTCTTGAGAAGAAAGAAGACGCATGTCCACACTCGGGAGGCCATCAAGAGAAAAGCTCTCATCCCCATTTGCAATTGCTTCAGCATCTCTACTGATCTTCTTACCGGGCCGAAGTCCGGCTGCACTTGATCTCCAATCTCGTCTATGTTAGGGTCTCTTTTTCCCTTGCAACACTTCACTTCACGTTGAAGTATTATACAAACTTTATCGTAAACAAACGACTTTTACGCGGATGGGAAACATGGAATCTGAATATTCATCAACATTACGAATCTTTCACCTATAGTAGCCTTGTGCACATGTAAATAGATTTTTCCATATTTTGTCATGTTTTGATAAAAACTACAGACAAAATCTACGCACGAATCTTTTTCACGCACACCACGCAGTAGCCGCCATCTTTCGCACATCGACCCAATTTTTCCATGCGCTACACTAGCACGCATGATGTTCTCAAAATTTTATTTTATATACACTTCATATTTTCAGCAAATCAACTGTATAAGAGAAAATCGAGAAATATACTTAATAGCTAAATTATTTATATGCTCTTTATTACAATTGAATGGCATTGATAAAAAGATAATAAAAAAAGATATTGATTATTTATTTAAAAATTTAAAAGCAAATTATAAATTTAAAACTTTTTTTTTAATCTTTCAAAGATGTAATAATATATAAATACATTATATATGCAATTACATGTCACAAAAAATGCCGGTATTTAGTATACTGTACGTCATATACAATAATAAGTACATCCATCATCTTTATAGATTAAAATTGCTAAAAATAAGTAAAGTATCATCTTATTTTTTTATAAAAAAAATCAATTATCAATTATATTGAATTAATATTAAAATATGATATTCAGTTTTTATAGTATCCAAAAACTGAAGCACGCGGTCATTTTTCTCTTTTTTTTATTGCAAAAATGACGTATTTAATTCTTTTATTACTATATTTTCATTCTGAATAAGTCAAATAAATAATATTAAAATTCACTAGAAATTTGCTAATTCATTCTGCTATCTAAGATAATATTAATTAAGCTACATGAATTATTGTTTAGTAGGAATTTAAAAAAAACATTATCATTCGTTTTTAGATCACTCTTTTTTTGGATTAATGGAACTTACCGTAAAAGTGAAAACTTAAAAATAACATTCTCCGGGGCTTGTAATTTGCAATTATATACGTTTGAACATATATGAAAAGCATTATAATTATATTATTGTCATATTATTGGCTCATATTTTCAAAATTTCTAACAATTTGATTGGATATACAATTGTTTCATCTTCCATTTACGATTGAATGTCTATTTCAATCTATGTGATTGGTTAGTTTTGCACCAATCAAAAGCACACACTGAAGCAAACTGAAAGGAAGCGTCGACATTCTTTGATGTTACTAACTCACAGATATAACAACGGTATCAACCTTAAAATCTAGTATGACGTTTATTATACAGGCAGCTACTTGCGTTATATTAAAATATAGTGCTTTTAGTGATCGGCTCAAACGGTTAAACTAAATTTCAGTTGAATTAGAAAAAGAGTGATTATTCTTATATCTCATAAGATATAGACTACCTGTAAAAAAACTGTAGAAACACGATGACGGATTTAACAGGGTTACGAATGAACGTGGCCGCTCTGAAACGAGTAGACCCCTACGTAAAAGATATTCTAGAGACTGCAACACACGTAGCACTTTATACTTTTAACGCAATTAATAATGAGTGGGAAAAAACTAACATTGAAGGTGCTTTATTTGTATATTCACGAAATGGCGAGCCCTATAACAGTGTTCTGATCATGAATAGGTAACGTATATACATACATAACATGTATATGCATACACATATATTTGTATGTATAAATGTTTGTCTATATTTTTTGAATATTTTAAAAACGTTCAAAGACTAATGAATAACATACATATATATATATATATATATATATATATATTATATAGATATATAAATCATATTATTCATTCGTATTCATATAAAGTATTTATATAAAGATAATATTTCAAAAAATTAATTTTAATGAAAATATTAAATATTTTAATATAATTTATTATAATTTTCTTATATGAAAAAATTATTTTTAATTATTTATTAATGAAATAAATTAATTATAAACTATAAATAAATCTTTTATTCATTATATAAATTATGTTCTTGCAGATTAAATACAAATAACCTAGTAGAACCGGTTACACAGGGTTTGGATTTACAACTTCAAGAACCCTTTTTACTCTATAGAAATTCTAGATGCAACATTTATGGTATTTGGTTTTATGATAAAGAGGAATGTGTACGCATTGGTGCAATGTTAAATAAACTTATCAAAGAATCAGAGGAAAATCGCAAAACTTATAATAAACCTACTGTTAATGTGAAAAAAGATAGTGGTCCTAATGTGAATAATGTTGATATATTCAGTATGCTTAGTAAAGCTCAAGAAGATTTTAATATTAATAGAAATAACAGTAGCAGTGGAAGTGGAGGTGTTAAAGAAGTACTTAATACTAAGTCTCCTTTAAGTACTCCTGCAACAGATGATGTGTCTGGGCCACTAGCTGCACCATTAGGTCCAGATGTTATAAATCATATTATTCATTCGTATTCATATAAAGTATTTATATAAAGATAATATTTCAAAAAATTAATTTTAATGAAAATATTAAATATTTTAATATAATTTATTATAATTTTCTTATATGAAAAAATTATTTTTAATTATTTATTAATGAAATAAATTAATTATAAACTATAATAAATCTTTTATTCATTATATAAATTATGTTCTTGCAGATTAAATACAAATAACCTAGTAGAACCGGTTACACAGGGTTTGGATTTACAACTTCAAGAACCCTTTTTACTCTATAGAAATTCTAGATGCAACATTTATGGTATTTGGTTTTATGATAAAGAGGAATGTGTACGCATTGGTGCAATGTTAAATAAACTTATCAAAGAATCAGAGGAAAATCGCAAAACTTATAATAAACCTACTGTTAATGTGAAAAAAGATAGTGGTCCTAATGTGAATAATGTTGATATATTCAGTATGCTTAGTAAAGCTCAAGAAGATTTTAATATTAATAGAAATAACAGTAGCAGTGGAAGTGGAGGTGTTAAAGAAGTACTTAATACTAAGTCTCCTTTAAGTACTCCTGCAACAGATGATGTGTCTGGGCCACTAGCTGCACCATTAGGTCCAGATGTTACTTCACAGAGTGTAATGGATTTTTTTGCAAAGGCAAAAGTTAGTAATTTGCGATCAATTGTATTTATGATTTCAAAATAAAAGATAGAAAATATTATTTTATAATTATAAATATAAAATATATATAAATATAATTAATTTTTAATATCTTTTCAGGTTAATACTGGACATTTTAAAGCTGGAGATCAACCCACTTCAGGAGGGACTATTACAAATGAAAGTAATCCTATTCTTGCTCGATTAATGTCACATCTAACAGCTCATACAGTCGAACATATTGAAAAACAACATAGATCTATAACTCCTCAGCCAGCTACTCAACAACAATCTCAAACAACTCCAACTGCTATAATAACTGCTAATAGTGCTAGTAATACTAATGCTTCAAACAGAACTAAAAAACGAAGTAGGACTGCATCTCAACAAGATTCAATGATATCTACACCTGCATCTCTAACTCAAGAAATTTTACCACCTATAAATCAAAGTACTACTGATACAAATGGTACTACAGGATTTCTTAGGATACAATCACCCACTAATGCATCATCTTCTACTTCAACAAATCATCAAGCCTCAGATATTATTGGCTCTAGTAACTCAAATCCACTTGCATCTTTATTTGCTAATGCATCTGCGACAACGGTAAGTAGACATATATGTCAATTTGTATTGATATTTTTATATAAGTATCAAGATCTGATGGTTATAATTTAATTAGGCATCAGAAGATATCATTACGGCTCCTACTTTGTCGGGAAGAGGATCAGCACCAGCTTTAATTCCTCCTGTAATGTTTGCTGCTCCTAGTCCACCTGAACCTTTAACTAGACCATTAGAACCACTGACAAAAAATCAATTTCTTCGAGCTTTTAATTATTTGTTGAGGAGTGATCCAGATTTTATTAACAAACTTCACGAAGCTTACGTTAAATCATTTGGTGAAATACTATCCTAGAACAATGACTTGTTAACTGATATAGCTGAAACCCGTCATGCGGGTTATGACGGCCGACTGATAACATCGAGCAAAACCTATAGTATCTCTATGTTACATGTACATAGATGGAACACAATGTCCTGCTCGAATTTCAATTAAACATGACTGATATCCCAATTTTTGGGAAGATCAAATCATAGATACAAATAAAGATACATACCTTAAGCAGTATTTTTATAAGCTAATACACTTTTTCCCATAAAAAGAAGTGACATGGATCGTGAATGTGTAACAAGGTATGAGACAAATGGAAATTGTAATGAGACGAGGAATGTGAAAATTGTACGATTTTAAACTGTGATGCCAAAACATTTATATTATACTAACATTTTATGGTTACTATTTCGAAACGAAACAAAACAAATTTTCTGAGCTGATCAAATAGATTACCTATTTTACGGAATAATGACATACCCTTCCTATATATCGGGTATCGATAATAGTACGTGTATGTAATTGATAAAAGGAGAAAATAAATAGAGACCGATTACTGAAAAATTATTTCAATATATTTTAAGTCGATTTTCGCATCGATTTATCCCTCATGAGTAACACATGTTGTAAAACAATGTCGTGGTACATACTTAATAATATAATTATCATACACAGAGTTATGTCATACTATCACAATATAATATTTATATGGAATATAATTACTATATGATGAGTACATGATGTACCAGAATAATAGACTTTCAAAAAAAGATATCTTATACGATTAAAAAGAAAACAATCAGACTTTGTGTTCTTCATTCATTTTTTATCGATATTATTCCTCGATGGAAAAGATATTTTTTTTCTTATTGCAGGATTATGTGTATCCTTTAAGATTATATAGTAACATTATTATGAACCTTGTGTGATTAGATCTATTTTTCGATCTAGGAAATTCGACGACATCGTAAATCGCGATTACATTACAATTTGTACGCCGCCTAAATAAGCGATATCATCTAATACACAATATAAAATACATAATCTATTTACAATGCTACAATAAAGGCGATATCATGCATTTCATTTTTTTTTCTTTATTTTTTTTTTTTTCTTTTAATTAACGTCATGTACAAAGGTCCTATTTCATTGGCCTTTTCTCACTCTTCAATTTTACGACGATCATCGTTGTTTCGAGGAATTGCAACTATCGATGCACAACACGCAATGTTATAATTTACAGCAGTCGCTTTTTTTTCACAAAATTCACAGCCAAGTGGAGCTATATAAGCCCGCTAGCTTTCTAATTAGTCTTACTAATGTCTATCCGCTTTATCGAACGTCTTTGGGATTGCGAGATAATTAAACAAGAGGCACTTTTGGTGGTCCTAATAATGGCGGTCCATTATCGGGCATCCGATGTGGTCCGAGTTTGTCGCTTTGCGTCGGTACAGGCTGAAGTAATCTAATGGCAAGACTGGCCAGTATCAGTAGAACGATTAGACCGCAAATCGGTACAGCGATTGTGGCAGTCTTGAACCATCCATCTGTTGACTGACCTCCATGATTGATCGGTTGAACCGGGCCGAGAAAAGGTCGCTGATCACCCACCAACACTGTTAATGATAAAAAGTCTTTCGTTATACACGAGCTTGTTTGAAATAAATTATGTAAAAGGTATCATTATTCATAAATTCATACAACCTTCAACTTTCGCTATTGTTTTAAATCAATGGTTCGAGACATTATATGTATACGTATACGTAATAGAAGTTTGTATAGTTATATGTATGCTTCTTTAACTTGTATCTATATGTATATGGAACAAGTAAAAAAAATTCTTCATAATTTATGTAAAAAAATTTGATTAATCGAATTAAAAATTAATAGCGTTAAAAAGCAGTTTTACGATGTAAAGTAACAAAATAAACGATGAAATGCATAATGCAAAAATGAAAATGGCACTCGATAGCACTGCATTAAATCTATACAATTTTAATGATATTAAAATGAGAATATTCATTTAACCTTGAAGAGTCTTGTTGAGCCTGTTTCTCATGGCTGGACTGTCTACGTGGTTGCAAAGATCCTGCTCGCAACAAAGATATCCCGTGGGACATTGCCGTTCTTTGAAGTTTTCATCAAGACAACCACTGTAAGCGTTATGCTCTGCTCTTAATAATGATGGATTTGCATTGGATGGTAATTCTGTAAAACAGCCTTTGCCGCGGCACATGTATCCTTGAGGTACGCATTCCGGTTGATTGCAGTAACACCTCACTTCTCGGATGTGCGGCGAATCTGTAAATGAGAAAAGTAAAATAAATATAATAAGATTAATTAATTTTTTTTATTACAAATGGGATTATATGTAAATCGTAAGATTTAATAAAATTAAAACCAGCGAATGGAAATAAAATTGTATGCAAGGATATCAAGTTCACAATACAAAAGAATAGCGTCCACGAAACAAAAATAATATTACAAGATCAACGTTATAAATTATCTTTAATGTTATCGAAATTCGAAATCCTCGAACAGAGGGAGAGAACTTTGAGGTCAGAGAATATTCTTCTGAATTGGAATAATGTTAAAAATGCGATAAAGATAGCAAGGCATTCTTTCGAGAAAAATCTTTTTTTCTCTTTTTTCATACTGTTTTAGATAATGACAGTTATGATTGATAAATGAATCATTCTGACTAATGATGCGTGACATCGCGGGTCATCTACATACGTTTTCTTGTATTTGCCTCCGTTCAAATGTTTCAAATTTGATAGGATTTAATCAATAAATTAATACGATTCAGGTAATATATTACCCGATTTATTAATTAATTATAAATTCATCTTTGTTTATAGATCTGTACTTGATAAGGCAATTCCTGCAATATAATTCTAAGATCGTTAAGCATGTCGTTCAAGCATTCAAGCATCCTAAATGTAACAGCGTTGATATAATTGGCGGCTTCCCTTAATGAATACCCGACTAAAGTCATAAAAGATTATACCCTGCTCGTTGCAACAGGTATACATATAAAGCTATATATACTTTCATTTACCTGCCGGCTACCAAGCCTTCCTTCGTTTATTTCTTTATTTATTTATATTCGTTTAAAGAAACTTATAATTTTCTTTGAACGTATTAATAAAAAAATTGTGCAACATAATTTTAGGAAAATAAAAGTTGGGGCAAAATGTATGCATTTCTTAGCAACATGTTTATCAAAGCAAATTTTTCAAAATAAATGATACAGAGGTGAAAAATTTTGGTAAAAAGAAATGTTTGAGATATTCTGCTTGAAAGGATTTCAACTGGGAGGTCTGGAAGAAATCTACCTCGAGGAACAGGCTCGATACACTGGGACCGTGCTTGACATAGCGTAAATATACATTACACGGAGAGAGTAGAGTTCTCTCTCGCAGTGTGTTAATGAGAGCTGCATGAAATAAACGGAGAGACATGGAGCATTTCGCAGTGACTAACCATCGTACCGCTTGTTTATTATGATAATGCGAAGCCATCTTTATCCGTAACTTTATTCTTGCCTTCAGTTTAGCCTTCTTTCAGACTCTCCCTTGGCGTTACTTCTTTCAACCGATGGAATACAATTTATTTCACTGTACATGGATTTCGTCGCAATTTCCACCAATAACAAAATTTAACGGGATGGAATAATTCATTAACACAATCGAACGTCATCTCGATAATTCTCATGAAATTTTCTCGGCGCAATTGTTGTTCGACGTTCTTCTCGTCTTTTGTCATCGAATCACAAAGAGATGCGATGAATCGATCAAGATGGAACTTTGAAATTACGAAGCGTGTCAGACCCTTTCGTCGAGGAAACAAAGAACATTGGTTTTGCAACGATTAGCCGCAGCACACTTGTTTATTATGGTAATGCGAGATCGTCTTTATTCAAGATATTGCTCCGTCTACCCCTGAATCCTCTCTTCCCCCCTTTCACATTAAACGATCCTTTCTCCCTCGACAAAATTTCTTGCGTCCTCCTCTTTCTCCCTACTTCTTGCTAATAAGCTTGTAGCGGTACTCTCTCCCTCTCTATCTCCCCCTCTTTCTCTTAATCTTCTTCTTTTTCTCCCCTTCACCCTCTCGTTTTCTCTTCCTTCATCGCGCATCTTCCTCTCCGTTTCATCCACGAGGCCCAGCTCATCGGGGAATAAAAAACGTTAAAACAGCCGAGTCACAAAAGAAAGATTAAAGTAGAGAGAATATATGGAGAGAGGCATGCGGCCTCTCGTTGTGTGTGCACCGCTGCTGAGCCGCTGTTCGCTCAGTTGGCCGGGTCTCACGAGCCTTTCAGAGCGACAGAGAAGACCCTCGTAAGAGGGTCTTTTAAGAAAACTTCTCTCTTGCAATTCTCTGGGTTACATAAACTTCTTATAGAAATTTCAATTAGATGCAAAGTATTCTTGTCTCTCTCGAACGACTCTATTAAGATTCATTTTTTAAAACGAATCATATCTTTTTTTTACTACGAGGTATGCAAGTTGAAATTTCATTTCGTTCTTTTCTCCTTTTCTTTTTTTTTTTTTTCTTCTTTTCTTTTCTTTCTTTTCTTTTCTTTTTTTCAAACAGAGCGGTGAAGTAACGGGTAAGAGGAGAGAACTGTATTTCGTCGAGGAAGGAGAGAAAGGGAAAGAAATAGGGAGCTGCGGAGAAGGGCCTGGTGTGCGTTTTAAAATAAAAAGGGAAAAGGGGAAGCAGCGGGAGGTCGAGAAGGCCCGGGCAAAAGAGAGATACGGCCGACATGCCTGGAGTCGAAGAAGACCCGTCCGAAAACAAACAGACTGCTTCGCGGGGTCGTTCGTTATGCGTCCATGGCATATTAATTATTTCCCGACGGGTTCTACCCCCTGTCTCCCTCATTCTCTGACCATGTTGCTCGTAATTCTTTGTTTTACATTTTTTCTTCGGTTGCTAAACGATTACAGGTTCGAGAAGCATGAAAGTAAATCGATGTTCTTGAATTCCCTGTATTATTTTCATCCCACCCACTTTGGTACAATGAGATATTTTACGAAATGGACTGGAAAATTTCCAGAAGCTCGTTCCTAACTAACTAAGTAAGTCTTTTCTTTTCTTTTCTTTTTATTTATAAAATAAGATATATTTTAAAAGAATTACTCTTTTCAGATTCGAATTGGCCTCGATGTAACAGCGTTATTGATTATCTATAATTTATGTAAATGCTCGCCCTTGTTTTGCGAATCGAATGCGAAAAGATAAAGAGGGAGAGGAGAGAAAAAAATATAATTTGCAATGTCGCGGGTAAAAAGGTAGACATGTCTGAAATGCTGGATGAACGTTCTCTCTGGTATGTTTTGCGCTCGTAAAACTGTCCGATTTCTTCGGCCACGATCGGCGAATATACTTCGTATTCGTATCTCTTCGATAAAAGCTTTTAGCGACGCACGCTATGGTATATAACACGCTTTCGATGAAGCTTAACCTTTAACTTACTGACGTTAGATATATGTATCTAACCGGCCGGGACATCGGATATATCTAACGAGATACACGTGCTGGTTACTTGTAACTCTCAGATAAACTTGTTTATTTGTTGAAACTACAACAACAGGCGTCGTGGGTTCATTCGACTCGCTTCTTATCGGGAATTAAATATTCATTTATGTAGACGAACTCAAAGTACGCTCGGCCTGTTCACTTTAAAATTAGCTAATTAACCAAATCTTTTTTTCCTTTTCGATTCATCGTATTTATTTCTATTAATCTCTGTCAAACGAACTAATGTATAAAATCTTAACCTTAATGTTCCGCGAAACTATTTTCTCGTTACGGTTCGTTAGAATTTCACCCGGCAAATAAGAAGCTACGATCGACGTGGAATTCAACGAGCAAAAAGATAATCGATACCCGCGTCGATAACGAGTCGCTAAAAGCGCGGTACGAAGGGTTACGATTCGTTTATCCGAACGACTCGTGCAACATGCCCGAGGATAGAAAGTCGTGCTCGACGGAAACTTGATTTGAACGAGCCCCGTTGTATATGCAATTAGAAGAGCGACGACCCATGTATATGTATACATGCACGTAGTTGCGTCGTAGCCGAGCGTACACCACCGACAGGAATGATGAAACTAATGAGTTTCTCTCGGTTCCCTCAAGTGTATCCGTAATGCACGTACATTGCGTAACAACGCCCCTCGCGTATACGCGCGCACATTTATTTAAATCCCGCAAATTTTATTTTGTCGTAGAGGAGTCGTAAGAGGAACGAGTTGCAGCACACCTCTGATGACATTAACCGACCAATCTACCGGACATCGATAGATACGAATATCGGATTTTCTAATTAATTAGGGGTAATGCAATTAGCATTATCAAAGTTATTATTCGTCAAAGTGATTCGATCGTACGTACGATTTATTTTGCCTCGTGGTGCAACGATTTGTTCGATCGACGAAGGAAAAAAGGATACGGAATTTCGTAAGTTTCGATAATAAGACGAATTTTTTCTTTTCTTTTTTTTCTTTTTTTTTTTTTGAGTCAGTTTATTATTCGATTGATATTGTTCAGAGTTACGAGAGTCTGGCCGAAGAGAGAAAGTTTAGTGCTACGCTCAATTGTTCATTCCGGCAACCGCGTTACAAGGTAATTGTAAAACACAGAATGACTCGACTGTCTTAATTTCTAATTAGCAACATCCACCGTTCTAAATTGCCGCAATTAGTATTCCACTGGGACATGAAGCGCGTTGGTGGTCGAGTGTCACGAAGTCAGCGTTGAATTTCACAGGAGCACACCCGTGGTGACGAATTCGCTTTGCGTCTACCGTGGAAGCAGGAAGGAAAGTTGTCATCGTAAGAAAGAAAGAAAGAAAAAACATTCGAAAAGACAACGATCAGGGATTACAGCGAAGATTACGAACTCTCTAAAGTCTTGGTTCGCGCGCATGGAAGACGAATGATGCACGAGGAAAGGGTCGTTTCTCAATCTTGGCAATGGTATACACTGACTTTTGCACGTGCCTCGTCGGCAGCAGCTCTATTCGCCTGTCGATCAACCGATCTTTCGCTCATAGCTTAACGCGTTACGGAATTCGAAACTCAGGTTATTGAACTTTAATCAGATTCGAAACGCGAATAATTACGTACATATAAAGTAAAATCATTTATATACATTTATCAACAAACTGTTTCTTTCCTCGTTTGTCGTGCAACGTCGTGTTACTTAACCTATTTCCGTCTGAACAATGATAATTTATTATACATCCGTGAGGATCGTCATCGGATTACAGGACACGCGATCGAAGG